ATAACTCTGAAGTTTCCTCAAAGAGTTTGAGAGTACATAGGTCATGACTGTAAGAGAAAAATAGCAATAGAATGCCACCACATTGTATTAGATACCTCTGTGTTATTAGATACAATGTGGTATTAAATACCACAGAGGTTACACATCTAAGAAGTCACCAGGAAGAAGAATGGGGTTTTCCACGGAAGGGGAATTGAAACATAGTGTTATAAGGAAAATAAAAGAAGAGAATATAGAGAGGAATAACTAACACTAAAGGTCTTTTGAAATGCCATGCAAAAACCTACTACAAAAGAAGCTTCCTAAAATTTATACATATATGGAAAGAAGTTAAATGGAGTCACAATGTAAAGGAAGAAGCAATTGCCTCAACCAGACATCTTATGCTGCCAACTATGGGTTAGAACTTGTTGAATCATTGAACAAAAGTATGTCCCATACACCCTCCTTCAAACATCACAGGCTATTGATGAGTGTCTCCACAGCTTGATGGTAAGGCCTTAGTGCTGACAACAACATTTATGTCATCACTCAAAAGAGCTCAAGCTTGTTCTCACTCATGAGCTTTACCCCTACTGACTAGCACTGATGATGCTGGAAATCTTTTAGCGTACCACCATAAGAGGAAAAAAGTAACCATCAATATCCCACCGCTACAAACCCTACACCCCACAACAGTGACTTACTTGCAATATGCACTTCTTCAGTAGTGACAGAAATATTATAGAACTGTCCAACCACCTTTCATTTGAACTTAGTGTCCACTCCATGAGCTGAAATCCATCTGACACTACTAAAGTGGCCAAGAACTTGAGACTAGATAGGTCATGACCCTAAGAGAAAAATCTGCTACTGTAACTCTGCTAAAGAAAAAATAGCAATACAACACCACCAGAGCAATCCTGTTATGCTCATAGATCAGTGTCTCACTCAGCCCCATGAGAGAGCTTCTTCTTTCAGTTGATGAGGTCAAAACAGATACCCACAAGTAGACAAGGTGTAGAGAGTGAGAGATTTTGAAGCAGTTGATCCTAAATGGGATCTTTTTACTCACCCCTCCAGTCAAGACTAAGGGATCTATTTGGAAGTGGAAGCAGAAACATCATAAGGGCCAGAGATGATAGATAACTCCAAGGAAACAGTGTGTTCCAAACAAAATGGGACCAGTGTGCATATAAACTCACAGAGACTGTGAGAGCACACAGAAAACCTGCAAGGTTTCAAGTCAAATGGGGTCCCAGCACTGAGAAAAGAAATCAGTCAAGGACTCTCAAGCCTAATCAAGAAGCTATTTGCAATTAATGACAGTAGGAAAGGAGACAGTCAATTTTTGAATGAAATGTCATCATACTTCAAGGCAGGCAGGACTGATGCCCAGGAATAGTTATTTACCACAAAACAAACTACATGTTTTTGTGGGCTTTGTGTCCTTTTTTGTTTTGTTTGGGTGTTTTTCATTTTATCGAGTTTTGTTTGTTTCTTTTGATTTTCTTCAGTTTTTTTTTTGTTTTTGTTTTTTGCTTATTTTTTTATGGGGACAAAAAATACAAGTAAGGGAACATAAAGCTGGGTAGGTAGAGGGGTGTGGAGGATGTGAGAGGTGTTGGAGAAGGGGAATAACATGATCAAAATTTATTAAATGAAAAAATAAGTAAAAAAAAAAAAGCATCAGAAAAATTATGAACCACTCAGGATGGACTGTAAAGCTCACCGAAGACATTTAAAGTAATACCGAGAACACAATTCATCCCATAGTCTCTTGGTGACTGTATTTTAAACATGGCACTGGAGATAGCCCTGGCCTTCAGTACTTAATGATAGCTTACTGAAAATTATTCAGAAAGTGACCACTTTGGATTATCAGAAATTTATTCCAAAGAAGTTCTTGGTTTGGGTGTTTGGGAGGGAAAAGAGGAAGATTGGAGTTAAGTTCAAATTCTAGGACCTCTCTGTCACTGCTAAGCACTCTTCTGCTTACTCAGAGACATTGGAATTAAGATCATAACATTTCTGGGTTTGGTGAAAGACAAAGCACCAGGGAGAAGGCAGAGCTGGCCTCAGGGATGGAGACAGAAGGGGCCTCTTCCCTTATGACACCAAACTCCGTGGTGTGACATCCTGACACCTTGCTTGAGCACAGGGACTTGGGGTTGATAAAAGGGCCTGGCTGGTGCTGTGAGGACAGCGACCCTGAGTCCTGCACAGACTGCACAGGTGAGTGCTGCATGTCATGGCGGATGAGGCTGCATTTGATGTCAGAAAGTCCGTGGAGGGCTGAAGTGTGGGAGGGAAGGATGTGGGCTCCCCATCACTCTGGGAAAGGAAAGTGGCAGGAGTCAGGGAGAAGAGGGTCTAATCTTCTGTATTTGCAATCCAGAATTGTTTCAGTGTCCACAAGGAGAGTCTGTGTAGTCACAGAGCCAGGACTGCTCCTTCCCCAGGGCAGACAGGGGTAGGAGACAGAGGCAGCTGCAGTGCAGCCTGGAGTAGGAAGCTCTGGCGTCTACAGCTTCTGCACAATCTTTTTGTGATTTTTTTTCCTCTAAAGATTGAGAACTTTGATATGAGCTGTATGACTTCTGGTGACTTCAGTCTATGTGGATGGAGGACTCTCTCTGTATCATGATTTCATTTATTGTGAATTTCCCCCTTCCTAGACCCAATGTAAACCATGGAATATGAGAATTATGGATAAAACAGATATGAGGCTACATACTAACACAAACAACTGATTTTAGAAAATGGATTTTTAGAGTATGCTGTCTGCTTCCCTAGGAACTATGTGTGTCAGGAATTTGACTCCACAGAATACACCTTATTGCACTAAATATAATTTGCATATGAAAATAGAGTTGAAAGCAGCCAATAAATAATATGCTCAAGATGATAAATGTAAACATTGGGAATTCCAGAACTTTGATCCATATTGAGTTGTCACAAAGCATGTTCTTGTGAGTCCTGAACTTCCTTTCTTAAGTTCTGGGATCCCTTAAGCTTCTACCATGTCAAAACCCTCATTTAACAATGAGCAAAGAATGAATTGATTCAGTCTAACAAGCTGGAAGTAAGATACTTGGGGAAATTAAAAATTAAAAATTAAAACGTACAAATGTGAGCTGAAGAGCTGCCTCAGTGGTTGAGAGCACTTACTGCTCTTGCAGATTCTATGATTTAACTATCAGCACCCACATGGCAGCTAACAACTATGTGCAGCTCCAGGTTTAGGGGATCCAATGCCTCATTCTTGCTTCTGTAGGCCCACAAGTGGTGCCCAGACATATATGCAGACAAAATACACATAAACGTAAAATTGAATACAATTAAAAAGAAATAAAATAAAATATAACTATATCAGAGTTTCTAGAATAGACATAAATGGAAAATAGTCTAGTCCAAAAATTGCACCACTCAAGAAACAGAGAAAGCTTCCTTATTTCAGTACATATTATTGGGATCTGAAAAAGCCAAGAGGTATATCTTAACAATATGTAGTCATAAAAAGACCACTATGTAGACAACACAACTGAAAATTCATCACATTGATGACTATCTTTCAAGATAGTCCATAATATCTACTGTATCACTAGGAGCTTCAAAGTTTACCTCCACTGTAAATGCAAGAAAACACAGACTACATTACTGAATGAGAGTTCCTAATTGGACTGACCTTCCAGAACCTTAAGGAAAGAGAACAAGCATAACACTTTTTCTTTCAGTTCACTTTTGTGATTTGCATAGGATTGTATGACCATTGAACTCAGTTAATGATTTATGTGTAAGCCGTTTTTACAGCATCAGGATGTACACCAGGTAACTGATGCACTCAAGCATCTCTCAGGTTTGCTCTGCACAGAGGGGTTGATATAAGAATACTAACAGACAGACAGTCCTGGGGGTTCAGAAAAGTTGTAGGAGACACATTTGTGACCTTGCTTAGGAGAAACCTGAAGCAATTCACAGATAAATTCATTGTTGCTGGGTGATTGTCATTGTTACGTTTGCACAGGTGAAGCTGAAGGCAATTCACAAATAAATCTGGTGAGCAGCAGTAAACACTAAGAAATGGTAGAAAAGTAGATTTAAGATCTCCACGTAAAATTACTTGTGATTTGTAAAATAGAAGCAAAATGAATAATTTATGTTTTAATCCTCTTTTTAACTTTAAACAGAATGAGAAACGGAAACTGAATGCCATCTGTAAATTTACACAAATCAATGTGATGGTGTTTGGATGCTTGTTCTTTTTACTGACTGATAAAATCACCATTGCGTGCAACCTAAGGAATGGTAGAGTGTGCCTTGTTTGGAATCTAAGTTGAGAGCTGAGACAGTTTCCTTCGGGAGAATATTGTTATTGAAAAGTCAGTAAATGCACACAGTAGCAGTAATAGCAGCAGCAGCAGGAGTAGCAGTAGAGTATGGGGGGGACAGGGAATACTTTAATATGACCCCATGCAAGACATGATAGGAATCAAAAACTAATCACAACATCCCGCTCAAGGAAAAGGGATAGAATATCTACTGTCCCACCTTATCAAATTATGTTTTATGTGTTGCCAAGGTCAGTTCAGAGTTGGAAACAAAGAAAAGCCACAGGAGCTTCCCCTGAGAAGCAATGCCATTTGTATTAGACATCTTTGAGGAGTTACAGATTTTACTAGCTCAATACATACTTGAAGTATGAGCATGTACAGGATGGCAAAGAGGATCTGAGAAGAGAAGCATCTAAGTTGATGGTCAATATTACAGCTTAGAAAGTGAGTTATGCTGACTTTTGTTTAGACATTCTCATAAACAGAAGTGTAGAGATGACGGATATAAACAACTTTCTTCTGTAAAGGCAGTAACTCTCTTCTGTAAACATCAGCATGGTGTTTAAGTCCAATTGTCATCATCTTCCCCATGTCAGTGGAAGCAAGAAAAACAATGCACAAGAACAAAATCAGGTATTTCCTGGCAAAGAATTCTGGCGTTACACATTAGGCTGGAGATTTTTTCACTAAAGAAAACAGAAAACCCACAGGTGTGAACTACACCACATTTACTTGCTTGTGTTTCTCAAAGGATTTTTTCCTAGTCCTCTTCTGGGCGTGAAGATGATTTGGAGAGACCTCATCCAGAGAATGATTTTCGTTTCACTTATTGGACTCGGAGGTTTAGGAAACATCATCTTATTTGTGAGACATCTATATCCTTTCATCATGGGTCCTGAGCACAAAAATATAGATGTCGTTCTCACCCACTTGGCTTTTGTAAACACGATAATTATTTATTGCATAGGGGTCAGAACCATAACCACAATTTTTTATTTCAGAAACTTCCTAGGTGATGTTGGCTGTAAAATTACAATTTATCTAGAAAGGATTGCCCGTGGCCTCTCCATCTGTACCACCTCTCTCCTCAGTGTGGTCCAGGCTGTCACCATCAGTCCTAGGAACAGCCTTTGGAGAAAGCTCAAACCACAGACTGCATGGCATGTTCTAGCCTTTCTCCTGATCTTTTGGATCTTTAATTCCCTGATAAGCTCCAACTTGCTCCACTACATCACAGCAGGCAGTAGCATGAACAGGTCTGTAGTTGGGATGTATACTGGATATTGCTATATGCTGCCATCCAGGCACACAGTTAAGTGGCTTTTCCTCTCCCTCATGGCTCTTCGCGATGTCACTTTTCAGGGTCTCATGGGCTGGAGCAGTGGGTCTATGGCTCTCCATTTGTATAAACATCACACACGTGTGCTCTACCTTCACAGATCCAGGTCTGAATGTAATTCCAGGCCAGAAATCAGAGCTACACAAAGAGTTCTCACACTCCTGACCTGTTTCCTTTTCTTTTACTTGGCAGATTTTATTTTCTCCTGCTACACGGGTTCCACAGTGACACATGATTCCACAGTCCTAAATATTAAAGCATTTTTAGTTCTTAGTTATGCTGGTCTCAGTCCCTTTGTCCTAATCATCAGAGATGTCCAGATTGCTAAGCCCTGCTGTGTCTGCTGAGAAATAAGAGATTTCTTTTCACATCAAGTTCATTATGATCTAATGCTATTTTCGCTGGAATGGCTTTGTTTTCCCATTCTAATTTATCACAGCAATGAAATTCTTAAAATAATGAGTTACAGTTTTTGCATATAACTGGAACTGGGTAATTGAAGGCTTGTTGAGGCTCCCACCATTCCACCATTCCTATCATGCAGTTTAGTTTGCAATATTCTTCATCAGGAGGATACGCAGAAGGGTATGCAGTCATCTGAGATTGGAATTTTATTTTTTCACAAATTAGAGTTTTGCCCTTTAAAAACTCCCAGATACTCCCTGCCTTCTTGTTCCTTTCAATGTACTCCCACAAAAACAAACTCTTCTACTTATTTACGAAACACTATGTCCCAGAGGCTATTCTAAACCAATGAACAGCAGAATAAGTGAATAAGTATGATGTTGGAAAGCATCGTTTATCTGAAGGTCTCTTGCAAACTGGAGATGACCAGGGAGAAAAGTTAATTCACTACAGCTAGTAAATGCTTGGCATTGCAAGGTATCACTCACTAAAGAGTTAAGAATAAAAACTGTAACATAATTCCAAACACATTCAAGACATTGATATGTGGTCACTAAATAAGTCAGAAAGCCCAGGGGGAATGTCATCTTTCATGGATTGTCATGGAGGTTTGGAAAATACACTCCAATTGAAAGCCACAGTCCTGAGCTCACTGCTTTGTAAACAACACTGCATAAACAGCTCAGGAACTTTGTCCCACAGCAGCTCTCACTTCTATTCAGTCATTAGCACCTACACAGAATATGTGACATTCATTAGTTCAGCTTCCCCTGAATGCCAGCCATGCTTCATGAGTATAGGCCTCCATCCTCAAGGTTGCTGTTCAGGCACATGGTATTCACATACAGGCATAGGGACCAAAAGCTGGAGACATGGACAAGAGCTGCTTGCTAAAGTCCATGTAGTACAACCTTGTCAGTGGACAGAACATTGGACTTCTGGGGCACTCTACAGCCTCTGGCCCAGGACATCATGGAGGGTCCAAAAGCACACCAACCCACATATTCCTGTCTTCCTTTGCTCCGGAAGTCCCAGGGAGGCACCTGTCATGGCTGTTAGTGTACTGTTCTGGGGCACCACAGGTGGCCAAATACAGCTCAACAAAGTCAACCAACAACTCCCTGCCCTTACTGAGGAGAAATGGAAAGATCTCAACAGTTACTGAAGGAGTACCAAACAGTGCCTGCCAGGAGAGCCAAGGCCACATTAGTTCCCTGGTTAAGTGCCTTAGCAGGCCACAAACGAAGACAATGCAGACAATCCTGATGAGACCTAATAAGCTAGCATCAGATTGATGTGGAAAAGGGGGAAGGGTTGTATTAGGAGGGGATGAGGGAGGGGAACTACAGCTGGGCTAAAAAGTGAATAAATTGTGATTAATAAAAGAATAAAAAATTTAAAAATTGTCATTTAAAAAAGGAGTTAAAATTTCTACAAGGAATGCATGCAACAGCCCTTGCTGTGGGTTTTCAAAATACTTATGTTTCTTTGAAACATTTTAATAACGTTCAACTTGGTTAAAGGCATCCTTCCGGAGAAGTACTGTTTTTCCAGAGACCTCAAGAGTGTTCACAGTTTCCAGTCTTTGTCACTAGCGGGTAAAAGACAAGAATAAGGGGTCAGTGCATCACCTGACATTTCTGTCCAGAATGTTTATTGTATACATTTTCTCTTGCATTTTAAAAATAAAAGATATATATATAATCAACTTTATGAGCATATAGTATTGATATAAAGTATGAAATCTCACACACAAGCTGTATCTGAAAAGTATTAAAGAGACTAAAGTAACAAAATTTTACTGGCATATCCAGACTGGGTGTGGAGAACAGGAAAACGTTAAATATGAGCACCAGATGAAAGAAATGCTATGAAACAAATTCACAGTACAAATTCTGCTTGTGGGAACTTGGGGTTCTATTCAGCCATGTTGTTGATCAATGTGGATGGGAAGGATAACAGTCCTTGTTAAATTGGAGTTGCAGAATTGGTTTAGAAGTTAAGAGCACTTGATAATATGGCAGAAGACTCATATTGGGTTCCCAGCACCCAGATGTTGGTTCATAACCCCCTGTAACTATAGTTTCATAGATTAGGACGCTTCCTTCCAACATTCATTCATAGGGCACCCTTTTGGTGCAAATACTTATACCCAGGCAAAGCACATGTAAAATAGTGTAAAAAAAAAGTGTGTTTTTAAAACCACCATAGATAGTATGATGGTTTGACTTGTATAGAGCCAAGACATAGCTAGATACTTGAGTTTAATAAAAGAGTTCACAAGAGTGACACCAAAAAAGAAGAACAAATAAAAAAAAGAGAAAGGAGAAGGAGGAGAGGAAGAAGAAGAAGAAGAAGAAGAAGAAGAAGAAGAAGAAGAAGAAGAAGAAGAAGAAGGAGAAGAAGAAGAAGAAGAAAAAGAAGAAGAAGAAGAAGAAGAAGAAGAAGAAGAAGAAGAAGAAGAAGGAGAAAAATAAAACAAATAGCTTTTTTTTTTTCCTATGAAAACTAGTCATTGCCGAGGACAATTTCAGGGCAGATCCAGCTCACATTTTGCAGGTTTTGTATCCCAAGCACACAGCATCTTTGGTAATTAGAATTTTTCTTCAACTTTGGGGAGGTAACCAAGTGTATCTGCACAGCATGTATAATATTTTAGGAGTCTGTTGCATGTGTATGACCAGAAATTTCAAAGATTTTTCATGTATGACACTGGAGTTTCTGACAGATAGACTATGGCTCTTGAGAGAACACTAACTCCTCAAATGGTAGAACTTCATTGGAACTATCTATAGGCTTAAATGCAGGATAGATAATTTTAAGTAAACATAAATATTTATTTTTCAAACTTTCTTAGTGTTCTTTATTCCTTCTTGCTCTTCTTGTCTTCTGCATTGACATCACATCCCTCCATAATTTTCCTCCCATCTTTCAATTTTCCCTCTTGTATACTTATCCTGCTATTCCCTTTTCTTTTACCTCTGTCCTGCCACACCAGGCTAGTCCATGACTCTATTTTCCTTTCTTGATTTCTGCAGTTATTACAGGTTATGGACTCACATCTGAAAAATTTGGAGCTGGGAACCATAGGTGAGAGGGAAAATGCTATTTGTCTTTCTGCCACTACTGTTTTTAAAACAATGATTTCAGCAAATTATCAATTCTTAAAAAAACTTGGCAGAAGTTTTGAGATCTCTTATGAGTACTAAATCATCTGTAAATAGGGATAACTTCAATTTTTAATTTCTATTTGTATTCCTTTGATTTCCCTTTCTTGCCTTATTGCTCTACAGTACTTAAAGCAGTATACAACCCAGTATCATTTCTGATTCATTCATATTTTAAACTTTATTATTAAAAATTGCAAAAATAATTCACACAGTAGGTGGCAGTATGAATGAAAACTGCCCCCAAAGCTCACAGGAAATGGCACTAATTGAAAGGATGAGGGTGTGTGGCCTTGTTAGAGGAAGTGTGGCCTTCATGGAGGAAGTGTGTCACTGGGTGTGGCTTTTGGGGTTTCAAATTATCAAGGAGGCACAAAGTCTCTCTCCCTGCTGCCTGTGAATCCAGATGTAGAACTCTCAGATACCTCTCTAGCACTAAGATTCTCACAATGATGACAACGGACTAAACCTCTGAACTGGAAGCCAGCCGCAATTAAATGTCTTTTTTTATAAGAGTTGGTTTGCTCATGGTTCCTCTTCACAGCAGAAGAACACTAAGACACAGCAAAAATTAAACCCAAAGCTTATACAACCCGATATTCTTCTATGCAGTTAGAGTAGACATTCACGGTCAAAACTCTGAAGTTTCACAGTGAAGTTTTTACTTCACTATTAAATATATTCTCTCTCAAAAAGGAGGAAATCATGAAATTTGCAGGCAAATGGTGGGACCTAGAAAAGATCATCCTGAGTGAAATATCCCAGAAGGAGAAAGACAAACACGGTATATACTCACTTATATAGACCTATAAGATATAATAAAAATAATGAAATCTGTACACCTATAAAAGATAATCAAGAGAGTGGACATGGGGTAAGATGATCAATCCTTGTTTAGAATGAAAGATGGGATGTGCATTGAACATATGACAGGAGTCTACTGAGCGCATTGGAAAGACTCTAACTAGCAGTGTTTTCAAAGCAGATACAAAGACTCGTGACCAAACCTTTGGCAGAGTACAGGGAATCATAAGAAAGAAGGGGAGTTAGTCTGATGAGGAAAGGATAGGAGCTCCACAAGGACCAAAGATATCTGGGCACAGGGTCTTTTCTGAGACTGACATGCAACCAAGGACCATGTATGGATATAACCTAGAACCTCTGCTCAGATGTAGCCTGTGGTAGCTCAGTAACCAATTGGTTTCCCATAGTGAGGGGAACAAGGACTATTTCTAACAGGAACTCAATGACTGGCTCTTTGGCCTCCCCACCCCCCAAGGGAGGAGCAGTCCTGTTAGGCCACAGAGGAGAGCTTTGCAGCCAGTCCTGAAGATACCTGATAAAACAGGATCAGATGAATGGGGAGGAGGTCCCCCCTATCAGTGGACTTGGCAAGGGGCACGGTGGAGAGGAGGGAGGGAGGGAGGGACTGGGAGGGAATGAGGGATCGGGACACGGCTGGGGTACAGAGTTAATAAAATATAACTGATAAGAAAAAAATAAAATACAAAAAAAAA